GTCCACAGCCTGTGTTCGACAACGCCTCGCACTGGTTCCCTTCAAAATGACAGCGGCAGACCGGCTCGCTGGCCGGCACGTTGAGAGCCACCAGATCACGCAGAACGGTGTAAAGGAAGTGCAGGTCCTGTGGGATATGCGTGGTGCCAGCAGCGTCGGCCCGACGGGCCCTCTCGAGAAAAAGGAGCGACTACGGATGCACAGTCTAGCACGGAGCTCTGAGACGTGTTGTCCGAAGGCCTCCTGTTCTGAGGACAACGCGTACAAACTCACATAAACATACGTAAGACATGTAGGATTGTGTACACAGGAGAAGGACAATCTATAGAAACATACGTACGTCGTCCAAGGCACCTCGGAAGGCGCCTCGGAAAGCGCAGAATACTCCTCCAAGGCGCGGGATCATGTTCCCAGACCGCCTTCCCGGAACATGATGGGGACGACCTCCTGAGGGCCTCCAGTGGGCCTCTTATATGTATATATATATAGAGAGAGAGTATATATATATATATATATATATATATATATATAGCGAGAGAGAGAGAGAGAAAGAAATATATAAAACACATACGTAAGACATGAAGGATTTTGCACACAGGAGAAGGACAATCTATAGAAACATACGTACGTCGTCCAAGGCGCCTCGGAAGGCGCCTCGGAAAACGCAGAATACTCCTCCAAGGCGCGGAATCATGTTCCCGGACCGCCTTCCGGGAACATGATGGGGACGACCTCCTGAGGGCCTCCAGTGGGCCTCTTGGGGGCCTCTCGGAGGCCTGTTGGGCTCTCCTGGAGGCGTCTTGGGGCGTATATATATATATAGAGATAGAGACGACTCGGGAGGGCTTGGGGGAGGGATATATATATATATATATATATATATATATATATATATATACATATATATATATATATATATATATATATATAGCATACGTAAGACATGTAGGATTGTGTACACAGGAGATGGACAATCTATAGAAACATACGTACGTCGTCCAGGGCGCCTCGGAAGGCGCCTCGGAAAGCGCAGAATACTCTCCAAGGCGCGGAATCATGTTCCCGGACCGCCTTCCGGGAACATGATGGGGACGACCTCCTCAGGGCCTCCAGTGGGCCTCTTGGGGGCCTCTCGGAGGCCTGTTGGGCTCTCCTGGAGGCGTCTTGGGGCGCGCTCAGAGCCATTTTTGGGCATCTTGGGGGCCTCTGGGGGCCTCCGGGGACGCTCTTGGGGGCCTTTTTGGGGCCTCTTGGGGCCTCGCGGGGCCCTCTGGGCTCGCTTAGGCAGTCTTGAAGCCCTGTCGGGGCTCTCCTGGAACCGTCTTGGGCGGCTCCTGGACCATCTTGGGGCTCTCCTGGGCCGTCTTGGGACGATTTTGGGGGTCTCTTGGGCCGTCTTGGGGCGGTCTTGGGGGCCTCCTCGGCCGTCTTGGAGCGGTTTTGGGAGACTCTTGGACGGTCTTGGAGCGTCGGAACTCCGAAAAAGCGAGAAGGCCAAAAACCTCTCAAAAAACAATAAAAAATCAACGATTTTGGCTTGTCGGGGCTCTCTTGGGAGGCCTCTTGGGATGCCTTCGGGGCCTCATGGAGCTCTCTTGGAACGTCTTCGGGCCTTCCTGGCTATTCCTGAGGCTATGTATGCGCGTCTTGGAGCGTTCGCGGGCCGTCTTGGGCGGTTTCGAACTGTTCCTGGCGGTACCAAGGGCCCTCCAGGACGCTTCGGACACTCCCGGGGGCGCCCTGCACCCCCCATGGAGATGACATGCACCGCCCCGGGGCCCTACTCCGATACATATATATATATATATATATATGTATGTATGTATGTATGTATGTATGTATGTATGTATGTATGTATGTATGTATGTATTCTTGTTGGGAGGCGCACATCCGACCCGAACATATAGCATACCCATATTGCATGAGATCGTTTCCCGAACGGCGTGGCCAGAAAGCGCCCGCCACGACACATATACTATAAGATTTCTCGGTGCGCGCGTCGCCTCTGGGGGGGCGGCGCACACATAGCATTAGTACGTTGGGGTGACGCCGACGTAACACGTTCCGCTGCCCCACAAGGAACCCACCAAAGGCCCCAGAGGCAGCGTCCGCATGCCGTACCCGCACCCAAGTTGGCACACCCCTCGAAAGTACTGCAGACCCACAGGGAGCTCAACTGAAGGCCCCAGCGGCAGCGCTTGCATGGCGTACCCGCACCCAACTCGGCACACCCTTCATACACTTCGTGGAAGGCCCCCCGCGGCAGGTCTCGCATGGCGCACCCACACCAAGACCATGTACGGCACACCCCTCCTCCACGCACTCCTTCGGGGCGTCCGGCGCGTGTCGCGGGGACCCCGCGCTGCACTCTGCCCAAGGCCGCGGCCACCGGGGCGCAAGGACAAAAAAGGGAGAGAGAGACGGAATGGACACTCTTAAACCTGCGCGAGAGGTTGCCCCGTGCCCCGGGTCTTTCTTGGCATGGGTCCCCACTGTCTGGGCGACAGAGAAGGCCCATGCACATCAGAGTGAGCGGGCCGAACGGTCATTCATTGTCCCTGGGTGCGTGGCTGAAGTGCGGATCCGTGGTGAGGATTATGTTTGTTGTTGTCGTTGTTGTTGAACTCTCAACTCTGAAGAATAATAATTATGGTTGATCCCCCCTCACCGGTCATGCTGTTTGTTCTCAATCAAAATGTGCCCCTCGATGCTCGCACCCTGTTTTTAAGGGAAGGCTTGGTGCTCAAACTGGGCCTCTGGCCCCCCCGACTACAACAACAACGGCTCCCGCCTGAGACTTCATCCAGATTTACTCAGGGCCCCCGCTCCTGAGACTTCCTCACAACTTGCTCAGGATCGTTGCTCGCGCCTGTGACTTCCTCGCAGTTTAATCAGGACCCCCGCTCCCATCTGAGACTCTGAGACTTCCTCACAATTTTATCAGGAACGGCGCTGCCGTTTGAGACTTCCTCGCAATTGAATCAAGACTTCCTCGCAATTTAATCAAGACCCCCGCTCCCGCCAGAGAACCTTTTCACATTTGATGCAGGAAGTGCGCTCTCGCCTGTGACCCCCATGCAATGTATTCAATACTTGCGCTTTCGACGCTCAGGAAACACGCTGCGCCAAGGACGCCGTTACGATTTACTTAATAATCGCGCTCTCGCCATACTCAGGCATACCGCTTGAAAGTCCCACCCGCCCGACCCGCCCGTCAGGGGATCGCCCGCCCGTCGTGGGCTCCCGCCCGAGACTTCCTTCAGGAACGGCGCTTTCGCCTAGGACTTCCTCGAACGTTCACGCTCTTACCTTCCTGCTCCTCCTCCCTCTCCCTCCTCCCTCCTCCCTCCTCTCCTCCCTTCTCTCTCCCTTCTCTCTCCCTCCTCTTCCATCATCCTTATGCCTCTCTGCCTTATCCCCTTTCCCTCCTCTCCCTCCTCCCTTCTCCCTCCCCTCTCCTGCCTCCTCCCCCCCTCTTTCTTTATTTCTCTCTCTCTCTCTCTCTCCTCTCTCTCTCTCTCTCTCTTTCTCTTTCTCTACCTCTCTTATCTGTCGTTCTTTTTTTTTTTTCTCTCTCTCTCTCTCTGCCTCTAATGAACCGCCCCCCTCATCGTTCCTTCTCTCCTGGCGTTTTCCGTCTTCCTTCGTCCCTCCCCCCCCCCTCCCTCCCACTCTCCCTCGTTCTCCCCCTCCTCATTGTGCAGGGCCCACACCAATTCCAATGGCGGGAACACGTACGCCTAAAAAGGATTGTCCGCCCGTTCAGGCTTGCCCGCCTGTCTAAGCCCGCCGCCCCCCGCAAAGAGAAATAATCCCTCCAAAGGGGGTGTGATCGAAGACAAAAAAGGCGGATATCGAGGATGTGGGGAACTCGTTTTGAATGACACGCGGGCAAGTAAGAGCGAACAATCTTAGAATGATTGTTGTTGTTGTCGTCGTCCGGCCCGCGACCCGGCCCGCGACCCGGCCCGAGACCCACCCGCGACCCACCTCGCAACCCACCTGCGACCCTCCCCGCGACCCACCCGCGACCCACCCCGCGACCCACCCCGCGACCCGCTCGCGACCCACCCGCGACCCACCCGCGACCCACCCGCGACCCACTCGCGAGACACCTGCGACCCGGCCCGCGACACACCCGCGACCCACCGGCGACCCACCCGCGACCCACCTGCGACCCAACCCGCGACCCACCTACATAGTTTCAACAAAAAATCGGCGCCTGCGGCGGGCTCGTTGTATAGCTTGAAAAATGTTGCGCCTGCGGCGGGCTTCTTCAAAGCCTCACAGACTGCCGACGTCCCCGCCGCCCCCTAACTCTTATCCGCAACTGCGGGGTGCTACGTACAAATGTGCGCCTCCGTTGACGCCCCAACTCTGTTGCTCCCCCCCCGCGCAATGCCCGACCGGCGCGCGGCGCGCCTCGGCGACGCGCCGCGCTGCGCCGCAGAGGGCCGCGCCGAGAAGCCGCCGGCTCGCGGGGTCGAGCCTCCCCCCTTGAGCAGGGACCGACCGTCCCGGCATTCCTTAGGCCTACCACGACATGTTCCTAGAACCCAAACATGTTCTAAGAACAAAAACAGTGTTCTTGGAACATGAACCGATGGGGTGAAACAAGACAGTCCCAGCGCGAAGTGTTCGAAGAACATTTCGTGCAGACCACAAAACGTTATTATACCATTCTTTGGTGGGCCGACAGGCGAGCCAGGACCTTCGCCACTGCTTGATGCCCCCCCTGCGAACTTTCATCACAGCAGTCTGCCAACCCTTCAGCCTCACTTTGGCTTCGGATGTCCAGGAGGGCCTCTGGCAGCTCTGGCTGTCCTTCGGCCTCCGCGGGGTGTCCGGGATAGGCTCTCTGGAACCGCTGGTGTGCCCTTCGGCTTCTTCCCCATGGGTGTCCAGAAGGATCTCGGGGGTGCCCGGACGAAACCGCCACATCGCACAGGGGGGGCAGAGGCCGAGCCCTGCATCGGCGCCGCCACCTCGGGGGCGCTCTCTCACCGCGCGCCGCCCGGCGCGGCCGCCGTCAGCTCCCGCAGCACGCGCGCGAAGGCGGCCTCCGGGGCGGCGGCCGCTGGCTCTGCGGCGCCCTCGGCGCCCTCGGCGCCGTCCGCCGCGTCGGCGCCGAGGGCCGCGAGCTCCGCCTCCTTCGACGAGGGGCACGCCCCCCCCCCCCCCCCAAACGCTCCCCTCGGCCTCACCCACTCCGCTGCGGCCCGCTCGCGCTCGGCCGCGCCCCGCTCGCTCCCCTCCTGCCCCGCTCACTGCACCGCGCCCCGCCGCGCTCTCTCCCCCCATCTGCCCCACTCGCGTTCCGCTCGGCTGCACCCCGCTCGCGTCGGAGGGGGGGGGATGGGGAGGATCAGTACACTCATCCAGGGCTCGAACTGAACAGAGCTATCCGTTTTCGTGTTGCTTTTGGTTCCGTCCGTTCTGTTTTCGTACTGGCTTCGCTGCGAAACGAAGTCAAAACGAAAACGGCCAACGAAATCGCGAAGACACCGTTTAGCTCGCGCTCTGCAATCATCTTGCTGCCACAAGGAGCGCCGAGTGTGGAACGAAGGGGCGTTCCTGGCTGCGGCGGGCCCCGGCAACGAATATAGGTCCCCCGACTTAGACTTCGTGCATGGCCCAAAAGCAAGGGTCCCGAGCCCATGCAGAGTCATGGTCCTTCCTTCATCGTCTTGACTGTACTCAACAGTAGTGGTAGTAAGCTGCGGGAGGGCCGTCATCCCTCCCGCGTGCCAAAAAACGACCCGACCGCTGCGCGTCACTACCGCGACCGCCTGTGCCCGCTGGGCCTAGAATCAGAACCCATGTGCGAGCCTCTTGGCCAACAGCCCCGCTACCCGGAAGGAAGGGAAGAGGAGAGGGAGGAGGGAGGAGCAGGGCTCGGCCTTGCGCGCGGTCTCATCGTCGACCTGCTGATCGCAGGGCATCGTGCTCGACCGAAAGCCTACCTCGCGCGATCGTCCACTCACTACACGGGGTGTCGGGCATCGCGCACGACGGAGGAGGAGGATGATGAGGAGGAGGGGGAGGAGGAAGAAAAAAGCATGTGTGGGTGTGTGTGTGTGGGTGTGTGGCTGTGTGGGTGTGTGGTGTGTGTGGTGTGCGGGTGTGTGGGTGTGTGGGTGTGTGGGTGAGTGGGTGTGTGGGTGTGTGGGTGTGTGGGTGTGTGGGTGTGTGGTGTGTGGGTGTGTGGGTGTGTGGGTGTGTGGGTGTGTGGGTGTGTGGGTGTGTGGGTGTGTGGGTGTGTGGGTGTGTGGGTGTGTGGGTGTGTGGGTGTGTGGGTGTGTGGGTGTGTGGGTGTGTGGGTGTGTGGGTGTGTGGGGTGTGTGGGGTGTGTGTGTGGGGTGTGTGGGTGTGTGGGTGTGTGGTGTGTGTGGGTGTGTGTGGTGTGTGGGTGTGTGGGTGTGTGGGTGTGTGGGTGTGTGGGTGTGTGGGTGCGTGGGTGTGTGGGTGTGTGGGTGTGTGGGTGTGTGGGTGTGTGGGTGTGTGGGTGTGTGGGTGTGTGGGTGTGTGGGTGTGTGGGTGTGTGTGGTGTGTGGGTGTGTGTGTGGGTGTGTGGGTGTGGGCGTGTGGTGTGTGGGTGTGGGGTGTGTGTGTGTGTGTGTGTGTGTGTGTGGGTGTGTGGTGTGTGTGGTGTGTGTGGGTGTGTGGGTGTGGGTGGTTGTGTGGGTGTGGGTATGTGGGTGTGTGGGTGTGGTGTGTGGGTGTGTGTGTGTGGGTGTGTGCGTGTGTGGGTGTGTGGGTGTGTGTGTGTGTGTGGGTGTGTGTGTGTGTGTGTGTGCGTGTGTGTGTGTGTGTGTGTGTGTGGTGTGCGGGTGTGTGTGTGTGTGTGCGTGTGCGTGCGTGTGCGTGTGCGTGCGTGCGTGCGTGCGTGCGTGTGTGCGTGTGTGCGTGTGTGCGTGTGTGCGTGTGTGCGTGTGTGCGTGTGTGCGTGTGTGCGTGTGTGCGTGTGTGCGTGTGTGCGTGTGTGCGTGTGTGCGTGTGTGCGTGTGTGCGTGTGTGCGTGTGTGCGTGTGTGCGTGTGTGCGTGTGTGCGTGGGTGTGTGGGTGTGTGGGTGTGTGGGTGTGTGCGTGTGTGCGTGTGTGGGTGTGTGGGTGTGTGGGTGTGTGTGTGTGTGTGTGCGTGTGCGTGTGCGTGTGCGTGTGCGTGTGCGTGTGCGTGTGCGTGTGCGTGCGCATGCGCGGGTGGCGGCCGCTGAGCAGCCGCCAGCTCACAAAAGCAACCAGCCTCGATCGAACCGATCCTGACCCCGGGATGCGCCCTCAGAAACTGAGGGAGTCCTTAAGATTTGCAACGAGATGTCCCAGGCTGGTAACAAAGACCCCGACCCAAACAGGCGACGTCCTGATTTTTTCAGTACTGGGTCCCTGGAAGACCGGTTTTTCATCCTTAGTCGTTTTTTGACGGTCCCGAAACCCGGCGAGGGCCCCCCGAGGCCGAAATTGGCCAAAACCCTCCCGTCCTGATTTTTGCAACGACGCGATCACGTCTGAGGACCTCTGGCGGACTGCTTCTTTCCCAACCGCGGCGCTTCTCCTCAGCTTCGGGCCCCCTTGGGGGCGGGCTCCCTGCATGCCCCCAGGAGCAAAGCCTCGGAAGCGACGACAAGGGCCAAGAGCCTAGGGGGCAGCCATACGTGTATCCAGGAGCGCCGATGGTCCATGGCTTCGGCTAAACTCCCCGGCGAGCAACTACGGGTAATGCCCGCCCCTGGGCTACCCCCCCCCTCATCGTCGCTTCCGCAAGATGGGTCCGGGATGCAGGAATACCTCTCTGGCGGAGGCGGCCACGGACTGAGAAAGTCACGTCGACGGATGTCCAGGTCCAGTCCCTGGGGCCAGCGGCTGACGAGGGCCCCCAGAACTTTCGACCCCATACTGGGCCGGGTTCTCGTCGCGTGTCGCTTGCGATGGTCCCGGGGCCCACATTCGGCCCTTGGTCGCCGAAACCACCGAAAACGCAAGTCGTAGTTTCTTCTTCGCGGCGCACCGATCGAAGTGGCCACTGCACCACACTCGTGCCTGGCTGGAATGGGCCTGGACGGGATTGGTCTCACCATGTTTCAGCATTGTCGCCGATCCCATGCTCCTGGTCCTCCCTGGCCACGTCCAGGCAAGTCTGCCCTTCGTCGTTCCTGGCCGAGGGAGGGGGTGGCTCACCAGCCCCTGCCTGCAGAGCCGATCGCCCCAACTCACCGGACGCCGGCACGTGCTCTTTCACGCGAGGGTGCTCGAGACGGTCGGCATAGCACGAAGACTCTGAATATTAAGCAGCACGTTGCTTCCAAGAGCACCACCTCGAAACAATTGAGTGCCCCGTGGACAGGCTCGATAGAGATGGTTGCCAACATCATCCGTTTCCGACGGGGGCGTCGGGGACGCAGACAGGTTAACGAAAACCGCGACATGCATAACATGTGTCGAACGTAGATTAGAAACCTCATACATGCACAACTCCCTTCAGGACCTACTCGAAGTGGACGTGTTCAATCATATACTTGCAACAGCAGTCTGGTGTCAGACGAGAACGCATGAGACTCCGACATAAAATGAAGATATCGAACCCATCACTCCACGACGACAGCGCCTCCTACTGCTTCCCAACTTGCGAGCAGATACGGATTCGACAACTGTACAAGCAGGCACGTCACAACTGTACAAGGAGACACGTGGCTCAAGCGCAGAGGAACCTATTAACAACCTGACGAGGTTGTTCAAATAGAGAATATCAGCTGCAAATCTTCGAGCAACCCGTGCAGTCGGTGCAACTGCCTGCCCTTCTCGCACGCGCTGATTCCGAGGTGAAAGCTGATGGCATCTGCATCGAGCTTCGCGTCCCAAGTCACCAACGACAAAGCCCGCTGCCACTGCCCAATGTTTTGGCATGCGCTAATTCCAGAATTAAGACTGTTGACATCGGAATGCAACTTCGTGGCCAACAACTCTCCCAGCAGTGACAAGGCATGTTGCCAGTGTCCACTCTTCTCGCAAGCGCTCATTGCCGCATTGAAGCTCACGACGTCGGGGTCCAACTTCGTGTCCCGCATTCCTTTGAGCAACGACAGCGCCTCCAACCACTGGTTTCCTTGGGCGTGTGCGCTTATGCCAGCGCTGTAAGTGATAACGTCTGGTTCTAACTTCAACTGCCGCAGTTCACTCAGCAGCAACAAGACATGGTGCCACTGCCCGCCTTTATCGCAAGCACTTACGCTGGCACCGTAGCTGATGATGTCGGGCTCCAACTGAATGTCCCACAACTCCCTTAGCAACGACAACGCCTGGTCCCATATTCCGCCCTTCGCAAGCGCGCTTATCCCGGCATTGTAGCTGACAGTTCCCGGCTCGAGCATCGTTTTCCTCATACCACTCAGCAGAGATAGCGCCTGCTGCCACTGGCCCCCTTTTTCGCAAGCGCTGATTCCAGCATTGTAGCTGACACAATCTGGCTCCAGCTTCGCCCAGCACATGTCGGTCAATAGCGACATTGCCTTCTCCCATTTCCCACTTGTCGTGCATGCACTGACTCCTGCATTATCCGCCACCGCGCTTGCAGCAACAAGTGTGTGTGTGTGTGTGTCGGGCCCTCCCCCTCTTCTGCGGAGCAATTACCAGGGCCCCCCGACACATCGAGCCCACGATGCGTTCATGTTCGTCACTCGGGTCGGGCGAAAGGGGGGGATAGCAAAGGGGGGGTTTGAGAATCAGCTCACGTAGCTGATTTTTCCGGCGCCTCCCGGCGCCGGAGGCGACGATGTATCGAGGAATGGGCCTCTCGGTGGGGCCGAAACCAGCTGCATGCAGCAAATTTCGTAACCCCCCCTTTCCCAATCACCCCCTTTCGTCCGGCCCGAGTCACCAGGTCCCTGCGCGTTCTGCCTTCCAGGCAGAAAACAATGTTTTCAAACATCGGGTCCCCTAGTGCACGGAAAGGTCTGGAAAATCTGGAAAATCTGGAAAACCTGGAATTTCTGGCCAAAAAGGAGGAGGAGGAGGAGGAGGAGGAGTCTGGAAAATCTGGAAAATCTGGAAAACCTGGAATTTCCGGCCAAAATTCCCGCGCGATCCGTGCAGGCCGCGCGCTCGATCCCCTCTCGTCGCCACCCGATTGTCCAAATGTCCCGTGCAATCCGTGCAAGCTGCGCGCCACCTCTTCCCCAATAAATTTCATATTTTTCCGTGCAGTCCGTGCAGACCGCGCGCTCCCTCGCCCCGCGAGATGTTCTGCGTTTTCCGTGCAACCCGTGCACGCCGCGCGCTCCCCCACTCCCACGATTTTCCAAATTTTCCGTGCGATCCGTGCAGGCAGCGCCCCGTCCCCCTCTAAGGACTTTCCGGATTCTCCATGCAGCCCGTGCACGCCGCACGCCCTCCCCATCCAGGATGTTCTAGATTTTCCGCGCAATCCGTGCAAGCCGCGCGTTCACCCCCGCGTCCGAGGACTTCCGGACTTTCCGTGCAATCCGTGCACGCCGCCCAGCCCACCCCCCTCAGGATTTGTTGGATTTTCCGTGGAATCCGCGCAGGCCGCGCGCCCCCTTCCCCCCCTCTCCCCCGGATTTTCCCGATGTTCCGTGCAATCTGTGCAAGCCGCGCGCCTCACTTTCAGGACTTGCTAGACTCTCCGTGCAATCCGTGCAGGCCGCACGCCCCTCCTCCCCCAGGATTGTCCAGATGTTCCGGACTTTCTGAGCAGGCCGCACGCCTCTCCCAAGATTTTCCGGACTTTCCGTTCGATCCGTGCAGGCCGCGCGCCTCTCTCCCCTTCCCCCGTCAGGACTTTCCGGATTTGTCGTGCAATCCGTCCAGGCCGCGCACCCCCCCCCCAGGATTTTCCAGAATTTCCCCGCAATCCGTGGAGGCCGCGCGCCCGCCCCCCAGAACTTTCCGGACTTTCGTTCCATCCGTGCAGACCGCACACACACCCTCCAGAAATTTCAATTTCTTCCCCGTCCACCCGCCCGTTAGGGTTCAAGCGGGCTCACTCGAGCGCGCCTTGCACTTTAATGTTCCGCCAACCCGACCCGAGCCGCTCGACGGGTTTGTGATAAAACGGGTCGGGTGGGGCCGGCGTGCGTTCTGCGACTGGGCGGGGATCTTGTGCACTTCTGCAACGTTTGACATTCGGGGTTCGGGTGGGCGGCGGGGCCAGGCTTCGGGGTTTATTCGAATGCTATCTAAACCAACTGTGAAACTGTAGTGGATGTCGGGGCGGCGAGTTTGGCGATTAGGAAATTTCAAAATCGCGGCGCGGCCCGTGGCTAAATTGAATGTGCTAGATGTGTGTTGCATTTGGTGTTTTGCCAACCCCGGCGGAACGCGGTGGCGGTCCACTGCGGCACGCACGTGGCGGGGGAGAAAAACGGTGCGCTGCGCAGCATCTACGGTCTTCCTGCCACTGCGTCGTTGTCGGCGAAGGAGGCGGAGGAGCTGCTGGCTGACTTCCATTCCCTTGTCAGCACGGAGATGGCGATGAAATTGTGGCTCAACCTTCATGACGACTGGCCTGTTCCTGGGGACCACTGAGCAAACGGGTGCGTCCGGCTTCTTCCGCCGTCTTCAGGGGCCTTGTGCATGGGCCTTGCGGGTCTTGCTGGCGTTTCTTGGGCTTGCCTGAGAAGCGTGTGCGTATGCTGGCTGTTTTGGGGGCCTCTTGGCCTGTCAGGGGGTCATTGCTGGTCGGTTTGGGAAGGGTCTATAGCTGTCTTGGTCTTGGGGGCGTTCTGGACTGTCCTGCCGTAGGAAATCGGTGATGTGTTACTCGTTATTGGGGGTTTTGGCACCGAGATGGCTACATGGATTCAAACACGCAACCGCTTCGCAGGCGCAGCGGCGGATTCGCTTTGCGAGTATATGAAGACTCTGGACTTGTTGGCGGCGTGGGATCGTTGTTTCCAAGCGCAGAGCCTGAAGCAAGTACTGGATAAAAAAGAGTCGCAGTCCTCGGGGCTCTCGACTTCCTCCTTTCTTTTACCGTAATAGTCATTTCGACATGCCCTCCCAGTTGGTAAGCGTACATCATATTTTCAAATTCAAGCACTCTGCAGGGGACGGGAGTGTGAATATGCCTTCTCTCAAGTTCCTTTCTTCGCTTCTCGCGTCTTCCAGTCTCTGTCCTCCAGAGGCCTTCGGAGGCCGGTGACCTCGGTGGGGGGGGCTCTGCGGGGGGCTCTGGCTGGCCCTGGGGGCCTCTCGAGCTTCGCCGCACACTTCCCTGCCGGCGCGATGGCGGTGGTCGGCCTGCCAGGCTGATTCGCTGCTGAAGAGGGGCTGGGTCCTTGCGCCCACTGGATCCCGAGGGGCCCGCCTTCTCGAGCTGGCCTCTGCGATGCCGCTCCCCGGAGCAGAGGTCTTTGGGGACTCATGGGGCCCTCGTGGAGTTTGCTTGGAAGCCTCCTTGGTCCCCCCGTTAGCCTTCCAGGACGTCCTAGGAAGACCCGAAGAGTTGAGGATGTCGGAGGGTGTCTGCAGATATTCTGAGACCCCCAGCCACTGCGCGAGATCTCCCGGTGGTGGGGTCGCACCGTGGCGATGCCACCAGGGGTCACCGAGTGGCCATCGTGTGGGGGGTTTAAGCTAGTGTCTCCTTTTTGCGTGGGTCGCCTGTCCTTTTTTCTGATAGATTCCTCTTGGGGGGTGAGTCGTGCTGGTGATGCTGCTTGTGCTGCAGCTGCTGTGCTCCTGTTTCTGGTTCTGCTGCTTGTGCTACTGCTGGGCGGTAGTGCTGCTGGTGCCGCTGGTACTGCCGCTGCTGGTGCTGCTGCTGGGCTGGTATTGCTGTCGGTGCTGTTGGTGCTGCTGATGCTGCTGGACTGTGATTGCTGCCTGTGCTGCTGGTGGTGGTTCTGATGGTGCTGCTGCTGGTGCTGTTGCTGATGCTGCTGCTGGTCGTGCTGCTGGTGCTGCTGCTGGTGTTACTGCTGCTGGGCTGGTATTGCTGCAGGTGCTGCTGGGGCTGCTGTTGATGCTGCTGGTGTTGCTGCTGCTGGTGCTGGTGCGGCGGCTGTGGTGCTGCTGGTGCTGGTGCTCCCTCGGGGTCTTCTTCGGGTCCGCTTGCGGCTGTGTTGGAAGATCTGAAAGAGCGCTTTCTGGCGCCACTGGCAGGGGGGGGGGGGGGGGAGAGGGGTTTCCAACCCGC